TCTAATTGTTAAGCTTCACATTGATATGGCCGAAATAAACAGTCTTTTCTCTTATAAAAATACGTTTCCACTGAAAAATTTGCAGCTTCTGTATTCACAACTCTTCCAAAAGCTAGCAACTTTTATTTTCATTCACTAACCCACACCGATTTTGTTGTAGGTAAGTATAAATCGAGGTATCAACATTTATTGAGCTCTAGATACTATTGCATGTCTACAATGCATAATATGGATCTAAAATAATGGATATTTCTTTGATTTCACTAGGATGTTCATCTGGATCAGAGACATCTTCAGTTAGGGTTTCACTTGACAAACTTATTTCTGATTCTGATTCAGATGTGCTATCGTCTCTGCTTCTCGCGCTGCCTAATATTTATTCTACTTTCCCCTTTCCCTTTTCAAGTTCTTATTGCCTTGGATTCCCACTTTTTTTTTGTAACTTTCTCAGGGACATTCCCATTGCTCTTAATACTTGATCGACAAACGTCCCTGCTTCTCTGAAAAGAACCAAATTAAAGTTGAGCCCTGAATAATCTCTTAATTGTAGTGAATCGCAATTTCCAAAGCCTGATGTGTGAAGAAATTCTGTGTCTTCTTTTGGCAAGTCGGATTTGAGAGAGGTTTCAAGATTCATGTTTTCAATTTTATGATCTACAACATGGTTATAAACTTTAGGTCTGACCGTCTGTTATCACAGAAATATTCCTCGGGAATAATAGCTATCATTATTGACTCGTGGTATAATCTACTATTTTCTATCATTTTTTGCCATGACATTTCGAATCTGGCACATACAGAATATCATACAAGGTAACTTTGATATACTTTCTTGTACATTTGTTGGTTGATGACAGTAAAGCATTTAGACTGACTTCTCCAATATGAGTAACATTCATGAAATCGTCGTTCCCCAATCGAATTTGACTTGAATATTATCTCAAATTTTTAAAAATAGTTTTGTCCTCTGACATGTGGGAAGTTGCACCAGTGTCAAATATACATTGATTTGGGGTTTTCTCTGGAAATGCACAGTCTTAATCATTTTTCTGAGAAACATTTGCATTTTCACAATTATCTCTCTTTTTGTTTCCACAGTATTCCAATGTGTTTCCTTCAGCAAACCATTTTTTATTTTCATTGCAATATGAACAATTATTTCTCTTTTGTGTTCCAATCAGGACAGTAAATAATCATCAGTATTAAAATCAGACCAAGGGGCAAACCACCTAGGAATTCATTGCCAAAACTGTGGAGAATTTAGAGGAATTTGTGGGAAAGGACGAGGCACTTCTCTTATGGCAAATGGATCTCCGACAGATTTTTCCAAAATTTGGATATGCTGTAGTTTTTAAGGCTCTGATCAAAAGCCATCATTGGCCGAACCTTGTGCGGTTGATAGTTTAGCCCCCAGAGGACGCCAAAGTTTCTTATAACATCGCACTGTAATATAGCTTGGTGTAATTATAATAATTTAGGATTATTATGAATATGTGCCATGTAAGATGTTTTGTCATTTTTGTTGAAGGCTCTAGAAAAACTGCTTCGGGGTGGTGCATTGGCTACCAGACCAATACATCCGGACCAATATGCTTACAAAGCAGGAACCTCAACTGAAACAGCACTACATCACCTCGTCTAGCGGGTAGAAAGTATGTTGGAAGGAGAGGGAGCGTTTGGCAACACTTCATTCGAGGCAATCATGGTACCTCTACGCCAACGAGGTATTGATGATACATGCTGCAGATGGATACACTGCATGCTTCGAGGTAGAGTCATCCACTACACGCTCCTAGGTAAAACAGTAACGGCTCGGGTTGCAAAGGGATGTCCGCAAGGCGGAGTGTTATCACCCCTGCTGTGGAGTCTGGTGATGGACGAGCTGATAGAGCTACTGAAGAGTAACAACCACCCGAACAACCATCAGGTAGTGGTATATGCAGATGACTTGGTTATAATATCCCAGGGAAAATTCAACTACACAGTTAGAAATCGCATGCAGCAGGCTCTAACAATGGTCTCTAGGTGGACAGAGTTCCACCGAAGGGTTGAAAATTAGTGCCACCAAATCGACAATTTTCCCCTTTACCAAAAGTAGGAAAATGGAGAGACTTGGACTTCTTTACCTTCAGGAAAACCCAGTTACGATGACAAAAATAATTATTTTGTCATACGCTCCCAAAAACAGCTATTTTACGGACTCATTCAAGTCCGTAAAATGCTTCTTTTTAGGATTTTTTTTTCTTTCTGGATGCACTTTTATGATTTCAAAAATTAAGGAAATTTTGCAAATTTTAGCGTTCTGAAGAATTCTAAAAAGCATATGACAAAAAATAGTGTTTGACTCACATACCTAAACGAAGTTTTTCAGGATTCAGCTGCTATGATTCGTCCTGAAAAACTTTATTTTAGGTACTTGTGACAAAAATAACTATTTGAGGAAAATGTTTTAAAGGATTGGCTTGAAATTTTGCAAGTGGATGAAGAAAGGATTGAAATTTAAGAAAAAAAAATCTGCTTTCGTGCGCTCACCTATAGTCATTTGTAAAGGATTTAATTAAATAGCTTTATTCTAAGCCTAATAACGTTACGATCGGATTGAAATTAACAAAAATGTGAAGTAAAATATAGTTCAATGTCATTTTGGAAAAAATCAAGCTTCAAAAAACGACAGTGAAGGACGTTTTATTTTTTGAGAAAAGTTTGAAGGATTGGATTGAAATTTTGCAAGTGGATAAAGAAAAGATTGAAATGTAGGAAAAAATAAAAACTTCCTTCTGATTCTTCACCTTAAGGCTGAAGACACAATGACAAATACAAGGTACTACAAGTAATGACAGATACAAAATACCAAAAAATCGAGAGTTTGTATCGTGGCGTGGCAAGGTAATTGTATCCTGTATCCATTTATTCTGGGTTTTAGCATTGATACGCGTGTTATTATATGTTTGTCTCTTGTCACTTGTACCTTGTATTTTCTCATTCTGTCCTGAGTCTTGAGGGGCAAACCACCCAGGAATACTTTGCCAAAACTGTGGAGAATTTAGAGGAATTTGTGGGGAACTTGAAGGAATTTATGGGAAATTGTAGGAATGTATGAGAAATTTGGTGAATTTATTGGTTTTTACCCTTTGAATCAGACATTATTTACAACGGATAAATCTAATAATCTGTCACAAACGTCATCATAATGTTAAGTTGTCTTTGGTTTTCAAATTATCTATAATGTTGTCGCTAGCTAGACTAATGAAAAAAAATGATCCTTTGGTTCTTGTTGAGGTTGCTAGAGGATGTAGAGCAGTCTCCAATGAGTCTTTACTTTCAAAAACTGAGGTTCTTTCTACCAATCTTGCCCACAGTTTGTTAAATCTGGTAATGTGTTCAGGAATATCCTTAGCCGACTCGCATTTAGCCCCAAATATCGATTTGACGTGCAAAGAGTACTCACATTTTCTGTCAAATATATCATTTAGGACATTGCTTTTCACATACTTGCTGCATCTGGGAAACAAGTTATGTGAGGTACAAGCACTAAATTGGATTTTCCATGAAGCTTCTCAAACTTGGGAAATTTGTCCATGGGTCTTTCAGTACCAAAATTTTCTATGCAGTTCTTGATTCTCTGAGCCACAGCTCATGGAACTCGATAATATTCTTCCATTTGACAAAACTATTATTATAGGTATAATATTCTTAATGGGCTTTGTGATTGATTAACCGGAAATATGGTTTTCATATTTTTATCCTTGCGGTTAATTTTACGAGGAACATAAAATAAATTCACCTGGTTTAGTGCCGGTTCATTCACTTTCTGATAAGCTGTCAGGTATACAATCTGACGGCTAAAAACGCAATCTGCAATCCCATTGGTCGGCCAGTTATTCGCCGACCAATAGAATTATAGAACCATAAATTTATCTCTCAGATAGTACCCAGCAAGTTTATCTGAAGATGATTAAACCGGGCCTTATCGATTCAGGAAATGTTTCCAAACAATAAACATGCATCGGAAGCAGTAAAAACTCCCTAAATTTCAAATCGATAACCTCTTTTTTTCTGTATAATATAGATTGACTCACACCTCCATTAGAACTTTAATCCTATTGGGTGTTCGTATCTCAATGAGAAGAAGACCCAAACTTTAAAATAGGAGCAGAATTTCCATATCCTCAAATTACAAAATAAATTCTAGGAAAATAGTATTTTTGTTCTAATCAAATTAAAGCGACTTTTTTACGTCGTCATGTAAACAAGTACATACTTATATTTCTTGGTTGGCAATAGCTCTAATCAGCTTACATATTTTCTATATTAGCTCATTATTTCATCATAATAATCTCAATTGTTCAACTTTATTATCCTAATCACACGCTCGGGCTTTGCCAATAATCGATTTATTAATAACTTTCAATAAAAGAAAAACGTCACAGGTCCCTTATCTTACGTTGTGGGTGTCTATAGCAAAGTTGGAACAATAACAAAGCGTAGCTTGTTATCTATATTTATTTGAACAATAGACATTCTTCACAGGGATACGAACGCTCGGCTTCGAATTATGTTCCCTATTAAAAAAATACGTTTAAGGTTTGAATGGCAACGAAGTAAAATCTACAAACGAACCTAATGCACAAAACGGAATAGACAGGAACGGAATGACGATAACATCTTATAGAAATTCGAGCGTTGAACGTACGCCGCCCATAAAACAATTACCCTTGTTGAAAGGTAATGATTTTTTGAAACATTTTGTGGCATTTTATGATTTATATTCAACTATTATGAAATCCAAGTCTAATTCAAAAAAGTAAAAATAAAAAGACTTAGATTTCAAGGTCTTGTAAGCAATTAAAAGTGTGACTGACTAAAGCATCATTAAAAATGAAAGGTGAGAACGTAAAAGAGGATAATTTATAAGAAAGGCTTTGTGAATTTTCTTGGCCTGATTTTTTAAAAACATTTCATTCAGCATCTCATCTGGTTTTGTTATTTTCTAAATATAGAAGCCGGCGGGGCATCAGAACGTGAAGAATTGTTTATACAGAAACTGAGACAGTGCTGCGTCCTGTTTGATTTCGCGTCAGACCCCTTGTCCGATTTGAAATGGAAAGAAATAAAACGTACAACCTTGACAGAAATGGTGGAGTTTGTGACACAAAACAAAGGCATTATTACCGAGAATGTTTACCCAGAGGCTGTTCATATGGTATTTATTGGTTGGATATGTAAATTTAGTGCTTATTGGATTTTTTTCTAGTTTGCTGTAAACCTGTTCAGAACCCTTCCGCCCTCCTCGAATCCTAACGGAGCTGAATTCGATCCTGAAGAAGACGAACCGACATTAGAGGCGGCCTGGCCTCATTTGCAGTTGGTCTACGAACTGTTCCTCAGAGTCCTTGAAGCTCCCGATTTTCAAGCGAACATAGCCAAACGTTACATTGACCAAAAGTTCGTGTTACAACTCTTAGATCTTTTCGATTCGGAAGATCCCAGGGAGAGAGATCTTTTAAAGACAACGTTACATAGGATATATGGAAAATTTTTAGGATTAAGAGCGTTTATTAGGAAACAAATTAACAATGTATTTTATAGGTAAGTGTGTTATACAGTAAAAACATTGGCATGACAATCAAGATTTCCCAGACAGGAAGACAATATCGCAATATGTATTTTGTTTGGCACACATTTTATTATATTCATTTTAATCAAATATTTATTTACCAAGTCATCATATAAAAATTAGTAACAATAAGCTGAAAGGAAAGTTTGGTAGATAAACATTGATAAAGTGATTGCTGTGCCAGATCCCAGATCAAAACTCGAGATAAACTAATAAGTTGCAAAAACTGCCTTAAAGCTTAACTTTATCATAATTATAATGCACATAATCAATATTGTTGTTGTTCTTTGTAGCGGTAATTGGGCTTCAGTCTGTTTTGTTCATTTATTTGTGGTGCAAACCAAAAATATACACAAAAGTATGAAATACATAGATTAGATACAAATTTCGTTAATCCTTGTACCCTTTCCCATTCTAAAGACAGTTTTCTTTGAACCAAAAATTTAACAGCTTATCTAATTTTTTCTCAATACTGATTGATTTGAAAAGAAAGCCTCGTTTCCTCAATAACTTCACACAATTATTGCATCTTCAAATTAAGAAATGAAAGTCAATTGTTACATTTTTTCTCAAATGTTGAAAATAAAAACATTTTAAATTAACCAACAAACATATTTTAGGTTTATATATGAAACTGAGCACCACAACGGTATAGCAGAACTACTAGAAATTCTCGGTTCGATTATCAATGGTTTTGCATTACCTCTCAAAGAAGAACACAAAGTTTTTCTTTTGCGAGTGCTGATGCCCTTGCATAAAGTAAAATCTTTGTCAGTGTACCATCCGCAGTTGGCCTATTGCGTAGTGCAATTTTTAGAAAAGGACCCTTCGCTCACCCAACCGGTGATTAGAAGTTTGCTAAAGTACTGGCCGAAAACTCACAGTCCCAAAGAAGTGATGTTTTTGAACGAGCTCGAAGAAATTTTAGATGTCATTGAACCTGCAGAGTTTCAAAAGGTAACCATTCACAATAGATCAAAATATTGTCTTATTATTATTATTTTTTGTTAGATTATGGTTCCCCTTTTCCGACAACTCGCGAAATGTGTCAGTTCGCCGCATTTTCAAGTAGCGGAAAGGGCTCTCTACTATTGGAATAACGAGTACGTTATGTCGCTGGTAGCCGAGAACGCCACTGAAATATTACCGTTGATGTTTCCTAGTTTATACAAAAACTCCAAGAGTCACTGGAACAAAACCATTCACGGTCTAATTTATAATGCTTTGAAACTTTTCATGGAGATGAATCAAAAGTTGTTCGACGAGTGCACTCAACAGTCCAAGCAAGAACGTCAAAGGTAAACTATATAACACGAATACACAATATTGATGGATAAATTGTAGGGAGAAAGAGAAGCAAAATCAAAGACAAGAATTATGGGAAAGAGTAAACAATTTGGCCAAAAGTAGTGCCGATTATGAACTTATTTACAAACAACACGCAAACGAATTTAACAATGTGATAACCAGTCCTGAAGGTGAAGACGAAGTTAACTTAGAAAATTTAGAAACTGAAGCGCTAGAGGTAATTTGCTTTTAAATAGAATATTTTGGCTTAGTATGAATCCTGTAGCTTGTTTGTAGTCAACTTATAATAGTAGATTATTTGCTTCACAACAACTTAAACAAATCCATTTTTATTTAGTTCAGACATATTGTCACGGCTCTAGGGTGCGTGACAGAAATCTTGAGTCCAGTCCATATCACAGTCAATATTAAAACTAAAAACTACTAACTAATACTGGCCTTTATATATCCGTAATCCATTCTTGTAAAATCCAGAATCCACGCGATAGCCTCCTTTCTTGAACAATGCAGTATTTTCTGGAATTTCAAGCCTGGATTTTGTATACCCTGGCGAAAGCGCACCGTCACACTGCCCTCCTCTTAAGGTTGATCGTCCCGATCAACTTCACGCCCAAAACATTTCGTCAATTTGTCCAGATGTACAAGTTTCATCTTACTCCGGGTGTTGCGCTGAACTCGATAAAGCAAATAATTGATCCTCTTGATTATTCTGTAGGGTCCTGCCCATGCTGAAGACAATAATTTTGGCGACACTCCTTTCTATTTTGTTGGATTATACAGCCATACCAAATCACGTTGAAATATGGCTGAATTGGCTTATGATTCGGTCACTGGCCAGCTTAATATGCTCCCAAGCAAAATCATGTATCCCCAGAAGTCGGGCCTTTACTTCGTTGGCATAATCTCGAATTTCTTTTCGTTCTTCTTCAGGTATACCAAACATCAGATCGCAAGGTAACCTGGGCTGGAACTCTGTAACGGATAGAGATCGTTATCCCTATCGCTATGGCACTTGCTGTCTTCTTCTTTCTTGTCGAAATCAATAAAGAGGAGATGTCAATAGAGAAAAAATATCTCTATTCGTTACAGAGTCCCAGCCCTGAGTTCCCTTCCAAAAACGATTCTAATTGGACTTTCACCTGTTGACTCGTGAACAGCTGCTCTGTAAGCCATTAAAAATAGAGGCAAAGGTTTGTCCCAATCTCGCTGGTTCTTTGCGACCACTTTTGTCAGGTGTTCCTCTATGGACTTATAAAATCGTTCTACCATGCCACCAGACTATGCCATCAGGTGTTGTCCTTGTGAAAACTGCGTCCACCAGCGCCTGGGCAATAGTGATGTCTTCTTGATTGGGAATAGCGAAAACTTTTGGCCATTTACTGAAGTAATCCACGATAAGCAAGATGTATTTGTTACCACACTCAGGGAGCAGTCCGGCAAAATCTATCGCTATTCGTTCAAATGGGAGACCGACGTTGTACTGTTTCATGGGCCCCCGAGATCTTAGTTTAGGCCCTTTACTGGTAGCACAGATGTCGCACTTTCGACACCAGTTTTTAACGTCTTCATGTTAGTGAACCCAGTAAAAACGTTCCCGAATTTTGTCCAAAGTCGTGTTAACTCCAAAATGTAGTTCCGTCATGTATTTCTTTTAATACATCTACTCGATCTTTTGGAATAACCAGTTGGCTCTTAGTAGATTTTCCATCGACACTTTCCCAAATTCTTTTCAGTAAACCATTTTTTACGGCCAGAGAGTTCCAATGAGCCCACAACGCCTTGTAAATCAAACTATTGTTTGACACTTCCCTCCATTCTGGTCTACATTCATCTTTTATTTTAAGATGTAGAAATTGCCTGATGTCCTGGTCTGCTTCTTTATCTGCTCTCATTTGTTTCATAGTCCATTTGTCATCAAAGATCAGACCCGTTCTTCTCATAGCCGGACCAGTGTTTTTCTCGTGCATATCAATTCTTTGACAATGCTTGCAGTCTTCTTTGCATGGCCGTCTAGACAGAGCGTTTTCATGCAGGTTTTTAGGTCCATGCTTAATTTGAAAATCGTACTGCTGCTATTTCTCAGCAAGCTGTCCTGCGGGAGTTTTCATTTCTAAAAGCCATTTTAGAGCCGCGTGATCTTTTCGAATCAGAAACTTGCGTTCGTAGAGCTACTTATGGAAATGGTCGACTGTTTTCACTATGGCAAGCAACTGTTCGTTCTGGCTTTGATGCTGTAGTACTCTGCAACATGCTCTCGTGAATTTTGAATTTGTGAAAGTACCGCTCCAATACTGGCGTTACTTGCATCTGTGTCCAAAATGAACATACCCTTTTGATCGGGATAGGACAACACTGGGTTTGTACATAATTCAAATTCATTTATTCCAGGTGTATAGTACAGTAAATTACATAGTATTTTTACCCTGCAAGAGACAAGAAGTCTGTGCACAGGCCCGGTACTTAAAACTAAAGATCCTTAAACTAAACTATTTTTACTGGTTAGGAACAATTAAAGTTTTGCATTCATTTTAATAATTTTTTTTTTTTTTCTGTAAATTTCTATTTATTCATACATATCAGGTAATTGAGAAATAAATTATTCATTGTAATTTTATAATATTCGATAGAAATTGAAGATTTATACATTTATGTTTTGTCTAATGAAAAAATGCTTTATGTTGCATTTGAAAGTTTTGTTGATTTTTTTTACATTCTTTAAATTTTTTGGCAATAAATTATACAGTCTTGTGGCACTTACTAATGATGATTTTTTACCTACTTCCAAATTAGTTTGTATACTAGGAATATTTCTATTTCTAGTATTTGTCTGTCTCTGTAAATATTTATTTTTTAGATATTCGTAATTTAAAATTAGTGTTTTATAGTAGTAATTTTGTTTTATATTTAATATCACATTTTCCCTATATGCTAAGTTTAAAGCTGAGCTTCGTACTTTAAAAATAATTTTTAATATCCTATTTTGTATATTCTGTACATAACCTATGACATTATTATAAGCGGACCCCCAGGAGACTATGCCGTATGTAGCAACAGATTCGAAGAGAGCGTAATATATTATTAACATAGTTTTAGAGTCCAACACATTTTTAAGATTTGCAAAAACGAAAATTAAGTATCTCAATCTCTTATTCAGTAATGATATGTGTTCTCTCCATTTCATGTTGTTGTCCACCACAACTCCTAAATACTTGTTGGTTTTAGTACTGTCCAAAGATCTGCAACTACACGCGGTACAATCCCCATCTTTTTCATGTATCACTACTTTAATACCATCTGGTACTTTATCATTATATGTACTAAATAATATATATTTAGTCTTTTCGACATTCAGAGATAATTTATTAAGCCTCAACCACGAAGCTACTGTATTAACGACTGTGTTGGCTTGATTTTCTAGATCTGACCAGCTTTCTGCCTGTAGTATTATGGCTGTGTCATCTGCATATGACAAAATTTGTGCACCAGTGTCCAGCTCCAGTAAGTCATTCAGATAAACAACAAAGAAAAAAGGTCCCAAAATGGTTCCCTGTGGTACACCTACTTTAACTATTAACTCATTACTATAAACATTATTGACTCTCACCATTTGTGTTCTATTACTCAAGTAATTTCTTATTAGATCAAATGGAATACCTCTTATTCCCATCCGATATAACTTTTCCAACAGCACAGTATGGTCCACAGTGTCAAAAGCCTTGGCCAGATCCAGAAAAACAGCCATAGTTGGTTGACTTCTATCTAAACACTCATATATATTATCAGCAAAAGCCTTTAATGCATTATTTGTAGACAAATTTTTCCTAAAACCAAACTGATTTTTATTTAATATATCATTCTTTTCAACAAGTTTAATGAGCCTAAAATGAATTATTTTTTCGAAAATTTTTGCAATATTAGAAATTAAAGAAATTGGTCTATAATTTGAAGCCAGACGTCTGTCTTTGTCTTTAAATATTGGTACTATCTCTGCTTTTTTGAAATGATCTGGACATTGTCCTGTGATAATTATTAAATTAACAAGTTCCGAAATGGGTTCAGCTATAAAGGAACAGAGCATTTGTAATACCTTGACTGAGATTCCGTCTACTCCTCCTGCAGCTCCTTTCTTTAAATTTTTTATGATGTTCTCAACTTCAGTCTTGCTGGTGAAAGACAAAAAAATTGAGTTTTTATTTAGGTTAATTTTTTTCCTAATAATGTGATCATTGTAATTAATTTTTTGAGCCATGTTGGTACCCACTTCATTATAGTATTTATTAAAATGGTTTGCAATATCTCTGTTTTCTTTCAAAATTAAATCATTTTGTAAAATTTCCTTAATTTCCGTTTTTTTTTTATTACCTTTGCCTAATTTTTTATTAACATAATTCCAAGTAGTTTTACTATTATTACAATTATCTAAAACATAATTTTTTTCAAAATTATTTTTTGTAATGGTTATTAGTTTTTGTAAAATTTTATTATATTCATGGTATTTATTTTTGAGAAGTACATTATCCCTGTCCCTACACCAAGCAAGATAAAGTCTATTTTTATGCAGACAAGATACCATAAGACCTTTTGTAATCCAATTCTTTCTTTTCACAAATTTTCTATTTTTATTGTGAGCTTTTTTTGTTGATAACTTAATTATGTTTTTTAGTTGGGAAACTAAATTTAAGACACTTTGATTAACATCCTGATTAACAATAAGATTATTCCAATTAAACTTGCTTGCAACACTACCTAACTTTTTATAATCAATATACTCCCTGTTGTTTTTGACTTTTTTATTAATATTGTTATCAATTAGTAGTAGAGTCAGATAATGATCAGTTATTAACTGTTCATAAACTATAGATTTTATATTCTCAGATTTGTTACCAAAAATGTGGTCCAAACACGTTCCCGAACCTGGTCTAGTGATACTTGTGATAAGAGGCATGAACCTTCTTTCATAGAAGTTGTTAATATAAGTATCGCCATTGTTGTCCGGCTCTATTAAATCTATGTTCATGTCTCCTATAATGTAATGTTCTTCATTTATATTTATTGCTTTTAGGTAATCTTCTAAGTTGGTCACAAAATCAGCAACATTAACATCATGCGATCGGTACATTGTTGTTAAAACCATTTTTTTCTCTTTGGTTATTAAGTGAGTTCTCAAAGCTTTGACCTGCCCAATTTCAATCACCTCAGTTTGTTCATCAAGGTTCT